CCGAACAATATAAATAGTGTACATAATACCTCATCTCAGAAATATAGACAGATACTGAAAGGCCGAAACGTTGTAATAAATATGCCGACAAAGATGAAGACAATAGTCCGAATAATGTAAATAGTGTACATAATACCTCATCTCAGAAATATAGACAGATACTGAAAGGCCGAAACGTTGTAATAAATATGCCGACAATGATGAGGGCAATAGTCCGAATAATGTAAATAGTGTACATAATACCTCATCTCAGAAATATAGACAGATACTGAAAGGCCGAAACGTTGTAATAAATATGGCGACAATGATGAGGGCAATAGTTTGAATAAATATGGCGACAAAATAGTGTACATAATACCTCATCTCAGAAATATAGACAGATACTGAAAGGCCGAAACGTTGTAATAAATATGGCGACAAAGATGAGGACAATAGTCCGAATAATGTAAATAGTGTACATAATACGTCATCTCAGAAATATAGACAGATACTGAAAGGCCGAAACGTTGTAATAAATATGGTACATAATATGCCATCTCGACAATAGACAGATGAAAGGGAAACGTTGTAATAAATAGTGGCGACAAAGATGAACAATATAAATAAATGTACATAATATGCCATCTCAGAAATATAGACAGATACTGAAAGGCCGAAACGTTGTAATAAATATGGCCTTAAAGATGACAAAGATGAAGACAATAGTCCGAATAATGTGAAAGGCCGAAAGTAGTCCGAATAATGTAAACATAATATGCCATCTCAGAAATATAGACAGATACTGAAAGGCCGAAACGTTGTAATAAATATGGCGACAAAGATGAGGGACAATAGTCCGAATAATGTAAATAGTGTACATAATACGTCATCTCAGAAATATAGACAGATACTGAAAGGCCGAAACGTTGTAATAAATATGGCGACAAAGATGAGGACAATAGTCCGAATAATGTAAATAGTGTATATAATATGCCATCTCAGAAATATAGATATATCCTTTCATTGAATAATATAGACATATTGTGTCTACTTATTTTTATACTGTTCCTTTCCAGTTGTCTAATCAGTTTGTTGATGTTGATATGAAATTCATCAAGGAAGGTGTCGGGTTACCTCCCGTAATTATCGCTACTAGGGGACGTTTTCCGTACTATAAATTCTCGGTGATATTTTTTCTCTCCCTCTTCTCACCTTATTCGTCAACATGTAAATCTTTCGTGCAGAACGCGTTCCCTTTGGGAGACGCATGAACAACAAATCCCGAGTCTGCCATGTTTGTTGTGGGCATTTCAGGAGGAACATCCAATCTTTCGAAGAGAGACCATGGATATAGTTTATCGTCATTCCCAAAACGTTCGGTTTAAAAAAAAAAAATCCCTCAATTGCTTAAAATTATTTTATTTACAGTACGAGAAAAAAAATGGACGCACCTATAGAAAATCGATCTTTGTATTTTTACCATGACAAGTGAGTAATAGAATTCATCCTAGTTCCACGTATGGAACTCACACTCTTTGGGTCCTGTCACTGAATCTAACCAACGCCTTTATCCACTGTGTCATGTGTCCTCGAGGAAATCTGTGCATGAATTTCTGGGTTTTATGAATCTAATGTCTTCAGCAATCATTTTTTTTTTTTTTACCAGTGATCATATTGCAATTTTTGGTGTTTTCATTGCTTGTTTTTTACCTGAGCTCATATTGCAACAACATAAAGAAGGCCGAAGCATACAACGGCCGAAACGTTGTGATAAATATGGCGACAAAGATGAGGACAATAGTCCGCAAAATGTAAATAGGGTACATAATACCTCATCTCAGAAATATAAACAGATTATTTACACTGTTCGGACTGTTGTCCTCATCTTTATTGTTATGGTCACGACGTTTCGTCCGTTGTACGCTCCGGTCTTCTTCAGGATCTGTCTATATTTCTGAGATGTGACATTGTAATTATTTGCATTATTTAGATTTTTCGGACGGTTGTCCTCATCTTTGTTGCCATATTCACGAAGTTTCGGCGACTGTACGCTCCGGCATTCTTCAGAATCTGTCTATATTTCAGAGATGAGACATAGTAATTATTTACACTGTTTACATTACTCGAACGCTTGTCCTCGACTTTGTTGCCATATTCACGACGTTTCGGCCGTTGTACGCTCCGACCTTTTTCCGGATCTTTTTAGATTTCTAAGATGAGGCATTGTAATCATTTACACTATATACATTGTTCGGACTGTTGTCCTCATCTTTGTTGCCATGTTCAACACGTTTCGGCTGTTGTTCGCTCGGCCTTCTTCAGGATCTGTCTCTATTTCTGACATGAGGCATTGTAATTATTTACACTATATACATTGTTCAGGCTGTTGTCCTCATCTTTACTGTCATGTTCACAACGTTTCGGGCGTTGTACGCTCCGGCTTTCTTCAGATGATTGGAATTTTGAATTGAACCCTTTATTTCGTCCACCTGGGGTAGATTGTTTTAGTTCTTGAAACGTTGTGAACATAACAGTAAAGATGAGAACAACAGTCCGAACAATGTAAATAATGTAAATAGTTACAATACCACATCTCAGAAATATAGACAAATCCTGAAGAAGTCCGGGGCTTACAACGGCTGAAACGTCGTGAATGTGACAGTAAAGATGAGGAAAACAGTCCGAACAATGTAAATAGTGTAAATAATTACAATACTTCATTTAAGAAATATAGCCAGATCCTGAAGAAGGCCGGTGGTTACAACGGCTGAAACGCCGTTAATGTGACAGTAAAGATGAGTACAACAGTCTGAACAATGTAAATAATTACAATACCTCATTTCAGAAATATAGACACCATACTCTTTATATACAGACTATTGTTCTCATCTTTATTGTTGCTATCACATCGTTTCGGGCGTTGTGCTCTACGGCCTTCCTCAGGTGTATATCGATATCGCCCTGTTCACACTCCTCCCCGGTCTTTTAAATAGGAGTAGTGATTTATCTCTTGTTTCCTATTTAGAAAACACACAACATTCAAAAATTTAAATGCAACGCCAATTGCCATCTTATGTCTTCTTGATTCCGGTTCTTTTATACTCGCTGCTCATCTCGAGGTCCTCGACAAAATCCAGAGACGGATATGCAATATGATAGGTCATGACCTGGCATCTCGTCTACAGTCACTTTCTCACAGACGTGCTGCGGCTTCCCTTTGTCTTTTTTACAAATATTTTCTTTGGCGCTGCTCCGACGAGCTACTTTCAGTGATTCCCAAACTGCATGAATTTAAAGCGTGCTATTAAGTTGGCATCTCGCTCCCACATTTTTACTGTCGAAACGGTTAAATGTAGCCGACTCCTCTACTCCAATAGCTTCATGACTCGCACTTCTCGACAGTGAAACTCCCTTCCTCTTACTTGCTTCCATGACAGTTATAGTCTTCAAATATTTGAATGTAATGTCAATCGACATCTTCTGATGCCTTGAACTAATTCCCCGTCCTTCTCTTTATCCTTTCCTTAATCACGTCTCTTTACTCTTGCTCCCACTCTCTGTAACCCCTTGCGTGCTTGTGGCTGATATGCTTATAAAATAAAAAGCTCATTAAAGTCTTCTCATTCTCTTTCACTCTCAATAGCCTCTTGCGTCTTAGTGGTATCATCGCCTTCTTTGGGAAGATGAACTGATAAAAACAAAAGCGTGTTGAATTAAACTGTTGTCAAGCCGAGCATACGTTGTTGTGGATCGAGGATACTTGCTGCCACTTAGTCCCATATGTAAACTCAGAGTTAATCTAGGCGTGAATAAATAAGTGAGAAATAATAATGATGATGATAATAATATCAACAGCAAACAAAGAGTCCACTTTAAAAAAAAAAAAAAAATTCGAGTTAGTCCAAATCTTTTCATTTTATAGCATCATTCTCGCATTTAATGAAGTAAAAGCTAATAAAAAAAAGAAATTTATGACATATCAATTAAGGAATAAAATATGAATAAGAGAAAGAAAGAACGAAAAAATTAGCCGTTCTCTAATTACATTAATGCTTTAGAAATGAATTCCTTTTAAATACTTTTCAAATACATGCGAGGAAAGGAACAAAAAAGAAAGTCCAGGAAACAAACAAAATGGCGATTACGTCGAATTTTTATTTTTTTTATTTTTTTCCCGCGCTTGGAAATTGAGCGGCTGAGTATTGTTTGGGAAATTTTTATGCAAATTATTTGTGAATTTTGCTCTTAATTTAATTACGGCCGCCATATTTCTTGCATTCAATTGTAATCCGTCCCATCCGGCTGGACAAGATTGCGTAAAAAAAGGCGGGTCAGAACGATAAATTAGTGATTTACGCAAATGAATAGGCATTTATCTATTGATATAGACAAAAATGTAGGTCTAACATGCACGCGTTCAAATACACACATATGGGCTGCGTTGAAAGAAAGAAATAAAGAAAGAGTGAAAGAAAGACGGACAGAAAGAAAGAAAGAGAGAAAGAAAGAAAAAAGACAAGGAAAGACAGAAAGAGAAGACAGATATAAACAAAGAAAAAAGTAAAAAAAATAAAAACAGAAAGAAAGAAAAAGAAAGAAACAATAAAAAAGAAAGACAGAAACAAAGAAAGAAAGAAAGGCGGAAAGAAAAAAACAGAAAAAAGAAAGAAAAAAATGAAGGAAAAAAGACAGAAAGAAAAGAAAGCGAGAAAAAAAGAAAGGAAGAAAGAGTGAACAAGAGAAAGTCAATAAGAAAGAAAGATAAAAAGACAGAAAGACAGACAGCAACAATAAAAAAAAGAAACAAAAGAAAGACAGAACAACAGAAATAAAAAAAAGACAGAAAGGTAGAAAGAAAGATTGCTATGAATATGTAACTAATTTCGTCTCAGTATTACTCGAGAAATAGTACCATTTTTATTATTTACTTAAAGTCCAAAAATGATTAGCACTATTTCCCATGAAATTCCTCATTTAAAGATACACTTTTTCTTGTATTGCAGTTTTAGCATCGATCCCTGATGCTTATTGGAAAATATTTAATTGTCTCCAATATCAAGCAGGCCAATTTTATATTTAGACCAACATATGAACAAACGCCCAGACATTTTAGGTTTCTCACGGGGTTACTTCTTTGCTTAAATTCATTGCTTCTTTCTTTCTGCCCTTATTTGGTTCTGTTTTTCTTTCTTTTATTCTTTCTTTCTTTTTTCTTTCTTTTATTCTTTACTTTCGCTCTTTCTGCATTTTTTCTTTCTATCGTTCTTTCTTTCTTTCTTTCTTTCTTTCTTTCTTTTCCAAATCTTTCTTTCTTTCTTTCTTTTCCAAATCTTTCTTTCTTTCTTTCTTTCTTTCTTTCTTTCTTTCTTTCTTTCTTTCTTTTCCAAATCTTTCTTTCTTTTCCAAATCTTTCTTTCTTTCTTTCTTTCTTTCTTTCTTTCTTTTCCAAATCTTTCTTTCTTTCTTTCTTTCTTTCTTTCTTTCTTTCTTTTTCCAAATCTTTTTTTTTTTCTTTCTTTCTTTCTTTCTTTATTTTCTTTCTTTCTTTCTTTCTTTTTTCTTTCTTTTTTCTTTCTTTCTTTCTTTCTTTTCCAAATCTTCCTTTCTTTTCTTTCTTTCTTTTCTTTCTTTCTTTCTTTCTTTCTTTCTTTCTTTCTTTCTTTCTTTCTTTCTTTCTTTCTTTTCCAAATCTTTCTTTCTTTCTTTCTTTCTTTCTTTCTTTCTTTCTTTCTTTCTTTCTTTCTTTCTTTCTTTCTTTTCCAAATCTTTCTTTCTTTCTTTCTTTCTTTCTTTCTTTCTTTCTTTCTTTCTTTCTTTCTGTTTTTCTTTCTGTCTATTTATCTATCAGTCGGACTTCTGTCATTCTGTATTTCTTTCTTTATTCGTCTCTTTATTCTTTCTTTCTTGCTTTCTGTCTCTCTTTCCCTTTGTCTAACTTATTTTTGTCTTTGTTTCCGCTTTTCTTTTCTTTCTGTCTTTGTTTGTTTCTTTTTTTTTACCTCTATCTTTCTTTCTGTCATTTTTCTTTATGTCTATCTTTCTTTTTTTTCCATTCTTTGTTTCTGTGGTTCTTTCTTTTTTTTTTTTTTTTTTTCTTTCTGTCTTTCTTTTTTTCATTGCATCTTTCTTTCTTTCTTTTTTGCTTTCTTTCGTTCTTTTCTTTTTTCCTTTCAGTCTTTCTGCTTTTCTTTGTTCTTTGCTTCTGACATTCTTTCTATTTATGTGGGGTTTCCATTCTTTTCCCCATGAGCTAAGCATATACACCAACAGATGTTTCGTTTGGTGTTGATTTCTGAAGTGTTCAAGACTTAAACCTTACATCGTTTAGTTGCTAGTCAGACATTGCTGCACATTTTGTCCACAAACGAACCTCTTAAAGATGAAAAAGTTGCACTTTCGCCATATTATTGCTCTATGATTTTCGGTAAGGGATAAGCATCGGAAATGCGACAAAAAAGAAAAGAAAAAAATACATTGAGAAGATTTATTTGGATCATGCTCCAGCTCTTCAGACAGCCAAAAAGCAGGTGTTGTCAAGGTGATTGCAAACTGACCTTCTTTATGACAGCGAATGTTGGACGATTTCCTCAAAGAATTAAGAAGGGACTCAAAACGATGGTTCTACAGAAGGATGCTAAGGATATCATGGACTGAGCGTGTGAGCAACGATGAGGTCTTAGTGATGTTGCAAACAAGTATGAGGCTTATACTTAATATGAGGATGAGGCAGCTGAAGTTTCTGGGACACATAACGAGGAAGGAGGGCCTGGAGAATCTGATACTCACAGGTCGAATAGACGGAAAAAAAGACAAAGGAAAACAACGCATGGCTTATATGGTGGGCTTAAGCAAGTGGATGATAGAAGCAGAGGGAAGGAACTTGAGAGCTGCAAGGGATAGAGGGAGGTGGAGAGCCATGATCGCCTACGTCTTAAAAGGATATGGCACATAAAAATAAAGAAGAAAAGATTGCAAACTAAACAATAAATTATGCTCAGGGCAAACTTACGTAGTCAATGAAAGACACTCGGCTGGCCATCGTGGAGAATAAACCAAAGATTTCGTGATTGCTAAGAGTTTGAAACCCGATATCTCAACTAACTTTTGCCATTTGAAGAAACTTGGGTTCAAGAAAAATGGCCGATATTGGCAAATGGAAAAAGTATCATTTTTCGCCATGACAACGCCAGACCGCATAACTTTTTCAGTGGTCTAATTTAAAGAATCAGTTTTCTTTTAATTCATTGCCTACTGTTGCTTTAATGCTTTATGGAGAACTCCCTTGTAAAAAATACCTCGCGCCTTGAAATAAACGAAATTATAGAAATTTGACGTATTTTAATGGGTTTTATTGTTTTTGTTTTATATATATATATATATATATATATATATATATATATATATATATATATATATATCAAGTATAGGATTGGTGTATACGGAATAAATTCCAATAACCAAGAAATACTATTCTTAAAATACAATCAATACAGAGTAGAGCAACTATAATTATTTATTCGAAAATTATAACATAAATATGTTATAAACTCACTACAAAAACAGCCGTTTTGTTTCGACACTTCTGGTGTCTTATCAAGTGATGATGTTGAATGTAGAAAGAGGGTTTTGAAAGGTTCAAATCAATCAAACACCCCTCGCCAATGGAAACGCTGTTACATAAGCAGGAATGACCAAACAAAATACAAGTATACGAGAATTCAAAAACCTTGACAGCGAACTAAGATTATAATAATTATTTAATTACGGAATAAATTCCAATAACCAATATATACTTCTGGTTCAAAAATTTTTTGGGATCCGGAAATGTCATAATTGCTAATTTTTCCTGTTGGCAGAGATTGCAAATATTGCTGTTGTTGTTATAAGTATTCGCATTTTTTTAAAAATTTTCAGCTTACGATCGGATCGCTTTTTTTTTTTTTTCTTTTAAATTCTACACATATTCAGCTATTTTGATAGATACCTAAGCTTTACTAGATTTACCTCCCTTTCTTTTACACCCAACGTCGAGCGTTTGTTTATTTTTAACAAAAATATTATCGTGTTCAAAAGATTTTAAAAAATTAAAGCGTTAAGAGCTCATTTGAAGAAAAAAAATACGCCCGAGGATACCGTAAGTTTTAAACAAAGGTAGCAGATTCAACTCACCTCCTGATTTTTTATATATATATATATATATATATATATATATATATATATATATATTGAGTGCTTATATTTCTCGATTTTTCTTTTTTATGCACTTATAATTGATGCAAGCATTTCCTTACTGTTTGTGTCCGTCTGTGCGTTTGCGCGCGTGCGGACATATGCCCGGATGTTCGTTGGCATGCGTACCTGCGTTCGTCTGCGGGGATGTGTATACGTGTCGGGTGTCTTTTCGTCGGTTTTGTATTTTGTTTTGATTATTTTTTTCTCCTATTTACACTCAGTCCTTATCATTTTTGCTGTTTGTTTTTACTTTTCCTCTTTTATTTCAATTCTAGCTAATTTGTTGTTATTTATTTTCGTTTTTTCTTCAGAGGTGTTAACGTTTTTAATTTTTGAGCGTTCTAGTCTTGACTTGAGTTATAAAAAACTGTATTTCGTTTTTCACATAAATAATTGATTTTAATACTTAAATGATAAATATGTTTCATATGTCTTCACCTGGTTATTATTTGGTTTTCTTATTTGGTTTGGTGGTATTTTAAGTACTTACTTAAACTATTAATTGTAGGAGCTTAGGTTTGTAATTAAACTTTTATTTAATATTGTTTGAAATTTTGTACACATGCTTGTATTTATACGCTTGTGCATACGCACACGCACACATACACGTATGCGCGTATATAGATATACACACGTGCACGTATATACACATACAAACGCGCTTTTGAGAAATGCTATATTTATGGGTTAAAAGTACTCAATATCAGGGACTGGGCGTATGTAAATATAAAAGAGAAGAAAGAAAGAAAGAAAGAAAGAAAGAAAGAAAGAAAGAAAGAACAATAGAAATAAAGAGTACATAAAGAAAGTTAGACATAAAGAAAGGCAGAAAGAAAGAAAAATAAAAAGAAGAAAGAAAGAAAGAAAGAAAGAGAGACAGAAAGAAAAAGCTAGAAAAGAAAGAGAGAAACAAAGTAAGGCAGAATGAAAGAAAGTCTGTATGAAAGATAAAAAGAAAGACAGAAAGAAAGAAAACAGAAAACAAAAAAATGAAAGAAAGAAAGAAAAAGGAAAGAAAGAAAGAAAAAGCTAGAAAAGAATGAGAGAAACAAAGTAAGGCAGAATGAAAGAAAGTCTGTACGATAGATAAAAAGAAAGACAGAAAGAAAGAAAACAGAAAACAAAAAATGAAAGAAAGAAAGAAAAAGGAAAGAAAGAAAGAAAAAGCTAGAAAAGAAAGAGAGAAACAAAGTAAGGCAGAATGAAAGAAAGTCTGTATGATAGATAAAAAGAAAGACAGAAAGAAAGAAAACAGAAAAACAAAAAATGAAAGAAAGAAAGAAAAAGGAAAGAAAGAATGAAAAAAAAAGCTAGAAAAGAATGATAGAGAGAAATTAATGCAGAAAGACAGACAGAAAGAAAGAAAAACAATGAAAGAAAGAAAGAAAGAAAAAAATGAGAGAAAGAATAAAAAGAAAGAAAAGAAAGACAGAAACAAAATAAGTCAAAAAGAAAATCAGAATGATAGAGAGAAAGACAATAAAAAAGGCATGTGGTCATAGAGGCCAGCACCCAGCGACGATATTTCGTTAAATACCTGAATACTGCGTTTAAGCATGAAACAGACTGACACCGCTGGGTACTGACTTCAATATCCACTTGTCTTTTTACATATATATATAATGGCATTTGGAAAAAACGTTCATGAAAGTATCTGTAAGATCTGATGAAGCCAATTAGGCAAAATGCATAGTCGGATGTTTTTTTCGAAACATACTTTCATGAACGTTTATCTAAATGTCTTTTATTTATAACATTGTCGGGATTATATAAACAAATTTATAACACGCGCGCCCCCCCCATATATATATATATATATATATATATATATATATATATATATATATATCCAAATGAGAGAAAGAACAGATGGAGCAAAAGTCCGCTGTTCATAGCATTTACTTTTCAATAAAGTAGAGATGCATATGATTATTATATTTTTATTATTAGAGATTATAATAAAAAACATTTTGAAATCGTTACAAAAAAAGCCTTCATGTTTCAATACTATGATTGTAATGATAGTATTGAAACATGAAACCTTTTCTGCAGCGATTTCAAAATGCTTTTATTATTATCTCTTACAATAAAAATAACATATGCATACATCATTCGCAGACAGTGTTGTTTCGCTGTATCACAGATCGTCAGTGCTACTAGACAACCGAATGCTTCAAGCCCAGATCGAAACCCAACCGATTTGGCTTCTACCACTGAGCCATCTTCACTAGACAGAATGAGTCAGCCAAATCTAGCATATTGTTTTTACAAACGTAGACAAACGCCAAGCAGCCAAAGTGCTCTATTCATTTTACTGAAGAGCTTCGCATTAACGCAGGTGGCTGTTGTTTAAAAATTAGCTTGTCATTCAACAGTGCTCATATATATATATATATATATATATATATATATATATATATATATATATATACAACAAGCAAACTGTAAGTGTATTCTATATTCTCTGGTTGACCGACTCAAGGAATTAGTCATTAGACGCGAAGCACTTGAGACGGTCAACTAGAGAAGTCATTTGAACTTGATTTATTGAATAATATATCTCTAGTTATCTTCGTCTTATACTATTTTAATTCGGAGAATTTTCCTCATCATTGTTGTTGTTATCACAAAGTTTGGGCCGTTGTGTCCTCCGGCATTCATCAGGCGTATGTCGATCTGAGTAACCTACAGAGACTTCTGAAATGGACCCTTTATATAATCTACACGGGTAGACTGTTATTGTCTAAGGATATCTCGTCTTGTTCTTATTTTTAGTATTGCTCATCCCGTTTCCACCGCGTCCAATTACACACTGCCCGGCATTGGAATTGAACTCACATCTACTGTAACCAGAAATTGAGGCAGAAAAGTTAACTATTGAGCGCTTCTAGTTAGAAATTTTTCAATCCATAAGAAGGCGTTAAATTCTTGTAAATATTTTCGGTTTCAATTGCTGATGTGTACTTATTTTTTT